GATGCAGCATCATAGCTCTGGAGAGGGTTAGTGGGTCCGCGCATCTCGACATCGCTGTTTTGTGCCCTTTTAGGTGTCCCAGAGGATCACAGACATCCCACAGAGCAGGCGGGCATGACACAGGAGGCCAGCACCATTCTGGCCTGGCTGCTAGGTACCAGATGAGATACCCAGGGCATCTAAAACAGCTCTGGGCTCCTGTCTTCAGGCAACCAGATCCCACCAAAGATGTCAAATTTTGAAATCGTGTGTTGGCCAAGCCCAAATAGGCATACAGGCTGCTGTCCTGCTTCCTGGTCCTTTTTGTTACCTTCACCACTGTTAAATCAGGGCTGACAACAGCGGTGCCAGCCCCCCACAGAGTAGCCCTTCTCAGGGCAGATACCTGCTGTGAGCCACTGGGAAACATCTGTCCTTTCTCTCCTGCTGGGACTGAACACCAGTGAGAGGTGAGGGGGCTGCACTGGTGGATTCCAGTCCAGTGTACACATTTGCCAGCTGCTTGCCAGTGATACCTCTCAAGAAAAGACCTGTTAAACATTTGTGCACATAGGAGATTGGGAGAAAGCCATCTTGCTGCTCTTTTTTTTGGGAGAGCTAGCAGCTCCACATCACTCTCGGCTTGGTGGGGCAGTTACAGCAATTAAGGGTGGAAACAGCTCAGGGTGCTGGCTTGCAGTTTGTCTTATAATATCATGCTGTGACCTGTAGCAGCTCGGGATAAACGTACCCATGCATGGGACAACCAAGGACAGGACGTGCCACGTAAAACTGCCTCTGGGGCTCATCCCCATGTCGGTCAGTCCCAGAGGATACATGCATGCGGGGCACATGGATGTGCAGGGAGCCACCTGGGATATTGCCTGAGCAGCAGGGAGTAAAGGCTGAGCTACGCATGTGAGTATTTACCCCGCCCTTGAGGTGTGTGTCCTACTCACCCTGAGGTCTGCGTGGCTGTGGCTTCCCTGTTAACCGGATCTGACCTGGTTTGAAGCTTTCTCGGGTTTCTCTCTGCAGTCTGCTAGCCCAGCCTGTTGCGAGCTTGCTGCAGCAGAAAACAAGTAACCAGGGGAGTAGCTGTTCAAGGCAAAACTGGGTCGATGAACATTTACGCTCCATTAACACGTGTCACCATTCTGTCTCCACAACTACAGTGAATGCACCTAAGAAGTGAGAACAACCTGAATTAAGGCTGCCATGTAACCTGAAACCTTTGCTTCTTGGCTGAGCTTCCTGCGGTGGTGTTGCTGAATTTATGCTCTGCATGGCTATCATGCTGTGACTGAGTGACTTGGATTTCTAATGTCTGCTCTAACGACCATGCTTTCCTTCTTGATTTTTGCCCTTCTCTTCAACTTGATGGGAAGCACATCTGGACTTAAAAAGTATTTCACTCCAGCCCCAGTTCCTCCTTCGACTTCTGACTCAGGGACTGGTCCTATGATACATGGCTATGCCATCGACCCCGGTGGGTCTGTGAGGACTTGTAAGTGTCTGGAGGGTGCTAACTGATGGTAAAGCATCCTTTCCCTGAGGTGCCCAGTGCCCTGACGTGCCACACAGTGCACTTCAGTGAATCTCTGGCTGAAGCAACTCAGTGCAGAGCTGGTTTGCAACTTCTAGGGGGTGCACAGTTTTCAAAACGCCTGCCCCCCTCCATCTTTTGGGGAGAAGTGTGTGTGCGTGTGGGTGCTGTAGAGGCAAAGGGTGGGTTTAGGATCACAGCTGCACAGCCTTCTCATATTTGCAACCAGTTTTTCACCAGTGCAAAAAATCCCTCTGTTCCTGTCTCATACATCTGCATTTTCTCTTTCAGAACCGCTACTCGCTTCTTCCTTTGGGTCCCTCCATGCATATACGTCTGATTTGTATTATCCCTTTGTTTGAATTGTAAGCACTTCAGAGCAGCAATCATGTCTCCATCTGTGTCTTGACAAGGGACTTACATGATAGGTTGGCTTAAAACCACCCCTCTGTAACTGAGCTATCTTAGGCTTTTGCAAGGAATTAACTTAATGAAGGAAAGTTTTCTTTTTGCTGCACAACAATCTGATCCCTTTGCCAGCTTTTCTTCATGAAAAAGCCTTTCCCAAGACTGATGTGAATTTGAAGTCGGCCAGTCTCAAATAGTTTTTAATAATTAGTTTATTATTTACATATTGGGGGGGGGGATCAGCTTGATTTTTGGTTTCTCATCCTTCCAGGTCCTACAGGTACACACATTTGCATGTACATATGCAGAGGAGAGAAACTCATCTTTCGTTACATGAACACGCATATATAGATGAAGAAAGAGCTTTTCATTCATTTTCTTGGTCACTGCAGCAGGGGCTACAAGGAAGAAAAAATATTGTGAGATTCACAGTAAAAATCACTAGAGTGGGCAACTCTTTATCTAAAAATAACTCTCTGTGGCTACCCTGGCTGGGCTCTGACACATGTCCTTCCACATACTTTGCCTCTCCCCCATCCTTCTTATTCTGTGATCGGAAGTCCACCTGCATGGAAAATGAGTCCATCAGGTTTCAGTAGTCTCCTGACAAGCCAAGTGTAAAACAAAATGAGCTGCCGCTCTGCGCCCACGCGTGCGCGCCCGTCTTCTGGGAAACGATGATGAGAGGCTCAGGGCTGACCACGCTGCTGTAAGGGATTAAGCACGTGATGATCATCAAATACCAAAACATGTCTACCTGTATTATGTTAAGAGCACAGAACCCACAGTCGTAATTTTTAACTGAAATACTTGGCTTGGAGGCAAAGCCAGCGTTTGCCTTGATCATCCCAAATTCTGAATTATCAAGGCTCAAACCAACATATTTTGCATGGTCTCTCCATGTGCAGCCCAAATTACCCTTTGTTAGGTGCCTGTAGATACCATTTTTCTTCTTGGCTGAAATGTTGTAACAGTCGCAGTCCCATAAGGGGGAGGTAAGCAGGGAAAATGCATTACACATTAATGGGATTCGATGGAGTGTGAGTGCAGGTCCCTCAGTGCTGCCAGCGACGGGGTAAAATTCACTTAATCATTTCATGAGTCAGGGATCATTTTCGTAGCAGCACCGTGAATATAACCCTGCTACAAGTGAACACAAGTTGTTGTGAGGAAGAAATTGTTTATCTGCATGATAGATTGGTGTCTTCTGGAATTTAAATATTAATTGAAAAGTCAAGGTCAGAGGGCAGCTGACACTTGACTGCTCTCTTTCCTCCGTCCACGGCTTTGATCATGCTACATCTTTCTTTGTGCCTGGTGCTCGAGAGAGTACCCCAGGGTCATGGCCTGTTTCCTAGTCAAGAGGTAAAAACCTACTGGCTTAAATATCTGAGGCCCAAGCTTTAGCGGGGGGTGAGGGTATGGGGGGGGGGGGGGGAGAGTTG